TTGATTTCCACAGACTGAGTTCATTGGTTCCCAGCAGGTCACTGGTCCTCAGGGTAACAGATGTTCCCTGCCCTCGGTCTTGTATGACTGCTGGCACTGCTGTCCCCTTTGGGACTCAGCCTTTTTGGTGAATACGTGCAGAGCCTTGTGCTTACCGTGTTGTAGATAAAAATACAGAGGCAAGGGCTAGGAATGAACTTGACTTCCCAGCTCAGTGGAACAGGGCTGGGAAGAGAACACAAAAAGGCCTGGCCTATCAGGGCAGAGGAATTGGTAAGAAAGCTTTCAGCCCTGACAATGGTCCACAAGGGATGCTCCCTTGTGGAGCTGCTGTTCACTGACACCAGGCTTCTGAGGGCAGAATGGCAGATCACAGCCAGCCACATTAAACAAGTAATTTCAGAAATGTGATCAAACTGACTTCCTGCCAGAGCTATGAAGCAAATCCCACGGGGGGCTGGAGGACTTATTTGCTTTCCATTTTTGATTCTGTGGTAGGTTGATTTTTTTTTTTTTTTTGAGAGAGAGAGATTTAATTTACCCAGTCTTTTCAATCAGAGAAATTGATACATTAACAAGACTGGTGTTGGTGGTAGCAGCAGCAGGGGAAGTAATTAAAAAGTCTAATCTTTCTTTGTTTCCAAAAGCACCAGTCCCTAAATTGGATGGGTCCCAATGGGCTTGAAAGCAGACAAAGTTTTAATAGAACTTTTATTTAAAGTCCAACAATGGCTTTGTTGTGCCCTGATGCTGAGATTTTAGGAGGAATCTTTCTTTTCCAGGATTCAGTGCTCTGGACACTGGAGGACTGGAGGGATGAAGGATTACATTAGTTTACTAGGGCTGTCATAACAAAACACTACAAAATGGGTGGCTTCGAATAGCAGGAATTTATTCTCTCACAGCTTTGGAGGCCAGAAGTCTGAGATCAAGACGTTAACAGGACCACGCTCTGATGGCTCTAGGAGGATCTGTCCCAGGCCTTTCCCTAGCTTTTGGTGGTTGCTGGCAATCCTTGGCATTCCTTGGCTTGAAGATGCATCATTCTAATCTCTGCCTCCATTTTTACATGGTGTTCATCCTATGTGTCATGCCTGTATCTCTGTTTTCTCTTCTTATAAGGACATCAGTTATATTGGATTAGGGCCTACTCTAATCCAGTATGGACTCAACTTAATTGCATCTACAAAGACCCTATTTTAAAATAAGGCCACATTCATGGACACTAGGGGTATATTGAACCCATAGCAGGGACCAGAGTCTATGGTAGGGAAGGCAAGACTGCCCATAGTGCCTGGGGGGGCCTACATCCATGTCTAGGATGAGGTGAATTACCTGGCCTACCTGGGATAGTCTCAATCTGGGGACATCAAGCCTTGGTCCTACAGCTGCCCACGTCTTGGATATCAGATTGGTCATTCAGTCCAAACACCAGGTTGTCCAGGGAATGAGTGCCCTCTCCATAGAGTGGGGACTTCATCTTTGAATTAACTTTTTGATGTGGTAGAAAGAGCACTAGACTTGAAGTCAGAAAATCTGGGTTCAGTCTTCTCTAATGCTCACCAGCTCCATAAGTTGGGAGCACGGTTAATGAATGTCTTCAGCCCTCAATTTACATTTCTATAAAAGTGGGATATAAAATAATTTTCACTCACCACAATTTTATGACAAGCTTAAGTGAGAAAGGGGGGCATGGAAGAGTTTTGCAAAGTATCAAACTTTTTTTTTTCCAATAAATGAAAATCCTCTTTCTCTGCCTCATCTGGGTAGAAACTTTGGTTATTCTACTTTAAAAGGTGATCTGATTCTTCATACACCCAGAATAGGCAAACATGAATTAAAGGTGGGCAGGATATCATCTGCTTCTGTGGCTCTAGAACTCAAAGTGATTAAAACCCCCAGTGGCCTCAATCTCTTAGCTACCTGCAGTTACCAAATAAAACAGGTTTTTATCTGGGTAGGGAGTTGGAGTCCAATCCTTTAGCCAAGCCTGTAAATAAGTCTTAAGGCATCAGAGCTGGATGATAAAAGGAAACAAATTCTTTCTTTAGATGTCCCCCCCCCGCCCCCAGCTTCTTCAAAGCCTTGGGGGAAGAATGTGCAGCTCTGCTTGTTGATGATGAAATTAGCAGGCTCCCATCATTCAAGACAAGAGACAAGAAAGAGCTGGAATCTGATACCAAATGCCATTGAAGAAAATATATTTTACACAACATAAAAGGCCCCAACGTAAATTAGAAGAAATATGGGGAGACTTCAAAAAGGTAGGTCAAACTTTTTCCTCAAGCAGATAATTACAGACTGGGTTGAGTAAATCTTATTAGTCTCTCTCCACCTCATCCCTTCTCATAAAACACCCATGAAGAGAAAGCCATACTCAATTCAGGACTGGACAAGCTTGCCTGAGAGGGATGGCCCGCCACTGCCTATCATGATGCCTGTGGTCGGGTTGTTGATGCCTACCTTTGCCGCCCTCTCCTACCTCCCCCTCCGGACGTCCCCGCCCACCTCCACCCCAGAACGCAGGTGAAGACAGCCAGCCAGGCACCAAGCTCCACCACTCAGGGCCCGCATCGGCTTGCTGAGTCTTGGTTACTTCTCACTGTCTGAAGAACTATCCCTTCAGGCGGCAATTTTCCAGTCAAATTTCTCTGCCCAAGTTTGAGGTCTTAAAATTAATGAAGTTGTTAACATTTCTTAAAATGTCTTTTGCGGCAGTTGAAAGGTATGGATTTGCCACCAGTGAGCCTGCTGGCCTCTTTGGTTCATAGAGAGATATGGGCTGAGCCCCGCAAACATCTTTAAGAGAACAGGAGTCTCAGTTTGCTCTGCTGTGTGTCTCAGGACTAGTCTTCAACCTCAGTGCCCCAGAGGTGCTCTTTGTGGCAACGGGCTGAGCTTCCTACAGGATTGTTTCTCTGGACAATAAGCTCTGAGAGAGCAGGAGCAAGTCTCACTTATGTTTGTTTCTGTATCACCTCTAACATCTGGCACTGAACCAGGCACACACCGGTGGTGGTGGGGACAGGTGGGTCCTTATGAGTCTCTGCTGAATTAAATATAGGAAGAGATGAAAAGGCTCTGAGATTACCACCGCACTCAGTCAAGGAGCCACCAACCAAGAATCATCTATTCTCACCCTGTGACTCGGTAGCAATGACGGTGCTGACTTTGGCACCCTCACTGAGCATTTCAGCAAGGCCTGACCAATGGTTTGGGTTCCCTCCTCCGCCAAGAAGGGAAATCATGAGGCTTCTAGGCTAAAAGGAGCATTTGAAAGGAATCCTAGGAGTCTTGCATATCTATTCCTTTGCCCAAGGAGCATGCCACCCCACCCTCATTTTATACATGAGATAGGTGAGGCCCAGGGAGAGGAAACAGGTGTATCAGAGCCAAGCAGTGGGCATGTAGCAGTTTAAATAAGCTCTGGTGGTTTTCTCCTTTCAACCTGAAATCTCTTTCTAGATGCTTCAGAGAGAACAAATGAAATGTCCTCTGTGTCATGCAGGAGGCAGACCGGCCTGTTTTGGACATTCTACATTTTATAGAAGTTGTGTAGATACTGAATGACTTTGAGAGCAAATTCAAAAAACGTTATCCAAAGACTGGTTCTATCACAAATCTGGTTTTACAAAGCAATAACAGTATAAAGGACAAGATTTCAATTATTTATAAACACCTGCCCTTATCCTAAGGTGATACTCAGTGTCTGGCTTAAATAAAATCAAGAAGTAATTCTTATCTGGAATCTCCTGACAACTACTGATCTTCCCCTGCAACCGGGGAGGCTTAGCAGCATAGCAGGAAACATCCCAGCAGAGTACAATTCTAAACTGCCCTAGGGTTTTTCATGCATTTATTTTTTTAAGTTTGAAATGAAGGTACAATTAATATGAACCAAGACTCACTGCTCTACGAAAGAGGGACACTAGCAGGTGGAAGGTCTGTTAGGTGCACTTTAAAAAGCTCAGGCCCAGGGGCAGAGACTGAGTGGCGGGAATAGGTAAATATTCCCAGAAGGGAATCTAGAGCTCAGTGTATACCAGGTTCATAAATACTTAGTTGAATCAGGCCTGATGAGTGAGTTCCATCCCTGAAGACCTCTGCATTCATTTATCATGCACAAGCCTCTGAGTTTCTTCTATGTGATGGGATAAAGTGGGGAGCAAACAGATTTGTGCCTGCCCTCATGGGGTTCACCCTAAAGGAGTTCAAGAGAAGAAAAAAATGTCCAAGTTGAAATACATCAGCTCTCCTCCAAACCTACCCCTTTCCTCTGCAGAGGCCAGCTCCTGGGAGCTATTAGGATGAACATGGAAGATGAGGAATGCTACACCATGTAAATATGGCCTCACCCTAGCAGTCTGCGTAGGTAGCTCCCTAGGAGAAAAAGTGAAGGGAAGAATTCTGCTTTTGTAGTTAGAAAATCCACTTTGTATGATCTTATTATGCTCAATTTCTGCATCTTTAAAAATGGAATGGGACTTGGCCTCCTTACCTCTGAGGTTATTGCAGAATCAAATGAACTGAAAATAATACCTAGGAACACGTCTGGGTACTTTTAAGGAGGTACCTAAACATAAGGAAATCACTTGAGGGGCCCCAGAAGACCCTCATAATAACAATCCTCTCTTCAAGAGATCACTATTAGAAACACTCATGGGTTAGAACCCTGTATCTAGAAAGCTACAGTCAAAATGCAAATAAGCATTACATCTAATGACTGGTAAGGGGATGTCAGGAATACCACACATATAAAGGCTGGGGGGATGAGATATGGCAGCAACAAAGCCCTTGGCTTCCTCCAGGATACATAAGGCAGCTGTCAGTCTGGAGAAGCCAGTCCTGGGGGAAACGGTCTTAAATTGGGTGTCAATGGAGACTAAGGGTACAGAAAGACTTCCTCCCCGACAAGCCATACATCACAAGCTGAAACTCACAACTTCTTTAATTATGAGATGGTGACTGTACATCACAAATAACTATCAAAATATACTTACCATATCGGCTGCGATGAGACAGGAAAGGGAAGGAATCTTTCATTATCCAGGTCAGATTCCAGGCAAGAGAATCAGGAGGAAGAGAAGGCAGGTTTGCTGGTGACTCCAAGGAGCTCTGACGGGAACCTGAAAAGACAAAGAGAACACCGATCTTTGCCCTTGGGATGTGTCTTTTAGCTGTCACTCATATTGCTTATAAAAGAAAATTCATAAAAGGCTTTCATGACATCAGTTGGAAAATGAGGGGAAAAAAGACTGAGTCACGAGTAGGTTGAATTGACCTCAGGACCCCACTGCACATTTTCTACCAAGGGCAGCCAGATCGAAGAAGTCCGAATCTTGTGACCTAGGCCATGCCAAAGATCTCTGGGAGATGAACTAGAAGCCAGGCTACTTAATGGCTTGGCCTAATAGCTCTATCCAAAGTCTATTCTGCTTATCAGAATTTGTGCAACTTTACAGAGAACTTTAATTCATCTCATTTAAATAATGCCTCCACTCTACTTTATGTTCCGACTTGTAATTTCATCTAACGTTGTTTGCTTGGGTTATTGCCTTATCAGTGAGAGTGTTGAAACTGCACTCAGAAGTTATGAGTTTTGACAATTGTGTTATTTTCAGGAAAAAAAAAAAAAAGCTAGGTGATGAGTTTTCCCATAACTAAGAGTCCAGGGAGCCACAAAGGATTAATGTTTCTGATTTGCATGAGAGAAAGAAGGGTTGAGAGAAAAGGAGCAAAAGCTGCATTATTCCTTTGCTTAACAGTACCTCAAGTGGGTTTTGTGGGATGAAAAGTAATTATAATATATCTACAAATCAAATGAACACAGGCTGCATGCTCTTATGCAGCTCTTCCCAGAAATCCCCAACTCAATCACTATTTGCTAACGTTTTAAGGCAGGCGAAGCTTTTTCTGTTAAAAAAATAGAATCAGTTTGGGAATCAGTTCTGTTTAGGAGATAGACACGTAGCAAGACTGAGTGTGGGGAGAAGGCAAGGAAGGGAATTTCTTCTGCAGCTTCCAAGGGCGAGGCACCATGCTGGGCTCTTAACCCACATAATTTCGCAGTGACTCTCTGAGATAAGCATTACCATCCCTGTTTCACATATGCAACAACTGAGGCTCAGAGGGGCAAATGATGGAATCTGAAACTGAAGCCAGTTTTGCCTGGCCTCAGGAGGCCATGCTATACCATGGGTGGGCTGGTTTGCTACTCAGACAGTAATTGTTAAACCACCTGGACTGATTTCACAAAGAGGAAGAGGAGGAAGAAGAGAAAGAATAAAAGGAAGCAACAGTAGCAGAAGCATTTTTTTAGCCTATTTGCTTTGTAGATTCTTCCACATCACCTCCAGCACGCGATCCTCCTTCAACCCTCTTTTAGTATCAATCCCTCTTCACACACTTTAAGGAAGTAACTGCCCTGAGTGGCCACAGCAGACTTTTGTTTCCAGACCGCTCTACTGTTTTATCTACAGGTGCTGCCTTTGGGTGAAGCCCACTTGTTCCTGCCACTAGAACAGAATGGGCATTCTACATTCTCCTTCCTAAAAGAAACACTCTTCTTTCTGCCTTCCAAAGATTTGACCTGGAAGTGCTGGCTTCTGAGTACGTAGAAAAGAGTTTTTGACTTTTCTCCCACATCTGATCTAAAGAGATAAGAATTGAATTGGTTAGTACCCAGATACATCTTTTGCAGCATTTCTCCAAAATGGCTTAGAGGAATGCACTGAAAGGGGTCAGAAATTATGTTAGTAAGTTTCAGAGAGCAGCCATCTCATTTCATCCTCACATCAACTCTGTTTTATAGATGGGCAATGGGGCTGAGAGAAGTGAGGTCCAAGACCACACACGTCTACTTAGGAGCAGGCTTGAGTTTATTAGACTTTTAAAGAATTAATAATATTAATTGAGCACACATGGACCAGGCATTGTGCTAAGTGCTTTAAGTGTGTGATTACATTCACTTCTTAAAACAACCTCGTGAATAAGTATCAATACTATTATTGGGCCTTATTTTGAGCCCAGGGAAACTGAGGCTGAGAGAGCTTGGATGCCCTAACTGAGGCCACATGGCCAGGCAGGAGACCAGAGGCAACAGACCAGATTGGCCTGATGCTACTGCCCATGCTCCTTCCACCACCCTTCATGGACCCCCACAAACTACTGCATGGTGCTTCTCAGTTCTCTACAGGGCCCTCCAGCATCCCCACGAGTCAATGGCTAAGGTCAGAGATGAGAGTATGCTCCAGAATGGGGCAACAGTGCGAGGGATGTGAGAAGGCTCTGACAACCAACTCCTTGCAATAACCCCCATGTGATTAAAAATCGGCATCTCTATGTCTGCATCATCAGCATAGTTCAAATTTTAAGCAATTCTGAAGCAACAGGAAGACCAAGTCTAGGCAACATTTCCCTGTTTCACAATGATGTCATTTTTTCTTAGCCATACAGTTTGGGAATGGTATTAACTTCTTCCTGGATGTGAAGCACCAAGTGGATGGGGCTAGACTTCAGGAAGCACTTATGAATCTGTGGGTTTGCACAGAGTGGCAGATGACTTTTAATATGGATGAGGGCCAGGTTATATATTCAGGGAAAAAAAATATCTGAAATCATTCAAAAGGAAGGGCTCTGAGGGCTGAGTCATGGCCCAGCAAGGAGCCATGGGCATCACTGTGGGTCATTCCTAAAGACATAAGCTTAAACCATTTTATATCCAAAAATGCCAATAAATACTTGGGCACCTTCAAAGTTAAATACTGAAGAGAAAGCAAGCATTTTCATCCTGCCCCTATGGGAACTCCCAGAATTTCTGCTAGTAGGTTGGGTTCACACGGTCCTCAGAGGGAAGTGGATAGTGATTTGCCGGGTCAGGCTGGGCGAGCTAATGAAGGCGTCAACCAAGAGGATGAGCATCCTCACCTGAGAAGGTGAGGACCGAGAAAGACGCAGTCTGCATGAATGAGGTTGTTTGCCCAAATCAGAAGCACTGACACAGAAATGTGCTCTAATTAAAGTTAATAGAATATGCATACATTTAGAAGAGAAAAAAGAAAGTACTGCATTTAAGTGCAGGGAAGAGGCTCTCTGCTCCCTTCACACTCCATCTCTCCACCACCTACCCCCCATCCTCAGCCCTGGTGGGAATGGGGGTTTCCGGCATAGAGGAAAGCTATGCCATAAGAAGCAATCCATTTAAGCAAGAAAAAATCTTGGCTCTTAGGGACTTCCCTGGTGATCCAGTGGTTAAGAATCTGTCTTGCAATGCAGGGGATGCTGGTTTGATCCCTGGTGAGGGAACTAAGATCCCACATGCCGCGGGGCAACTAAGTCTGCGTGCCGCAACTACTGAGCTTGTGTGCCACAAGTAGAGAGAAGCCCATGCACTGCAATGAAGAGCCCACTCACCACAAGGAAAGATCCTGTGTGCTGCAACTAAGACCCGATGCAGCCAAAAAAATAAAATAAAATAAATATTAAAACAAAATTTTTAAAAAAAGGGCTTTTCTGGTGGCGCAGTAGTTGAAAGTCTGCCTGCCGATGCAGGGGACACGGGTTTGGGCCCCGGTCCGGGAAGATCCCACATGCCGCGGAGTGGCTGGGCCCGTGAGCCATGGCTGCTGGGCCTGCGCGTCCGGAGCCTGTGCTCCGCAACGAGAGAGGCCACAACAGTGAGAGGCCCGTGTACCACCAAAAAAACAAAAAAACTTGGCTCTTTGGTGCTTCCCTCTGAGAACGTGAGGATCAGAGTAAAATGGGTCTCACCAGCACAGACTTATGGGGTGAAGGTGTGAATTAAGACCCGCTGGCTCAAGTAGAGTGTATCTTGGAATCCAGGGGAGAGAGGCAGAAAGGAAAGGAGAAGGGAAAGTAGGAGCAAGAGCTTCCAGGTGCCCAAGTGATGGCCAAGACCCCCTAAGGAGAAAAGTAAGGAAATATATTCTGGACTGAGGGCATTACCGATTGGTTACAGATAAGATAGTTTTATGTTTTTCCTTTGGGGTGGGGGAGATGGAGATGATATCCTGAGCCCTTTTCCAGGCACCACAGGGTGTCTAGGCAGAATGAAACCCCCAACCTCTTGACGCAGCTTTTTCCACTGTGCACCACCCCCCTTGCATCCTCAGCTTAGATTCCAGTGTTCAACACTATCATAATTCCACTGTAATAATTCCCTTGCAAACAACTGCAACTCACTTCCTTCTTCTGTCCTTCACAATTGTCCTGAGCAGCTGAATGTGGTGGTAGGAGAGGAGGGGAGCAAAAGGGGAGGGGGAGTACACCAGATGCCGACAAGTCTCACTTTAAAATCATGACAACAAACCTCAAGAGGACCCTCAGGCAGGACTGCCCAGGAATCCTTCTGAATTTGCTAATGGGCTCAATTCACCCTCCCTCTCTCTACACCCACTCCTTCCAAGTTTCTCTTACCTTCAAGCTTCCAATCCTCCACCCCCACTCCTCTACTTTCTCAGCTAGTGAACTTGTTTCATTGAAAAAAGAGAAACAAATCTACCAACTTACAGGTATCAGTACCTATATATGCTACCTTCTGTCCTGTTGTAACAGATATGCTGTCTACATTCCTAAGCAGTGGCAGCCTCTCCACTTTGGTGCTAATCTCATCACTTCCCAAGAAATCAGCTGTTGCAATAGTCTGCCCTTTCTCCTGCATCAACAATTTCCCCCCTCTTCCAAGCCAATCTCATCTGCAGCAAACATACACCATCTTAAAAAAAGAAAAGAAAAAACTTCCTTGACCTTCACACTCTTCTTCAGCCATCATCCAATTACTTGCTCTCCTTCACAGCTAAATACCTTAAAAAGATTTGCCTGTGCTTCTGTCTCTAGTTTTCTCCTCTCATTTTCTCTTTTCTTTTAATGTCTTTTTTATTTTTATTTTATTTATTTATTTTTGGCTGCATTGGGTCTTCGTTGCTACGCGCAGGCTTTTTCTAGTTGCAGTGAGCGGGGACTACTCTTCGTTGCGGTGCGTGTGCTTCTCATTGCGGTGGCTTCTCTTGTTGCAGAGCACGGGCTCTAGTCGTGTGGGCTTCAGTAGTGTGGCACGCAGGCTCAGTAGTTGTGGCTCACAGGCTCTAGAGCACAGGCTCAGTAGTTG